GGGGTCCTGGTGGGTGTTGGACTGATTGAAGAGGTGAAAAATCCCATTCCCAGGCCTTCCAGGAACTAGGAATCTGAAAAATTCCCTCCTGAGAATCTCAGGGATCAGGTAACTCGTTATTAGTGCCGAGCTCAGCATCAGGAGTTGATGCCCAGAGACACCTTGGATGGGAGAGAGAGAACAAGAACCTCCAGGAGAAATTTAAAGCACCCAGAAAAGGTTGTCCTTGCTTTCCAAGCACCTCAAAAACATGAATATTGGCCTTTTCCCTCTGGGAAAAAAATGAACAGGCGCTGGAATGGGAGGTTGAGTTGAATGATTTGCCCAGTGAAGGGTCTTCTGCACCCCCAGGGCTTCAGGGCTGGGATCCCTCCATGGGATCTCCAGGAAGTTCCATGGAGATGATGAGCAGCCCATGGGCCAAATCCATGGATAAATCCATTTATGTCCCTGTAATAACACTTAGTAACTGGACACATCACTGTGCAGCTTTTCCCCTCTCCCAGCCCATGCAAGGCAGGGGGAGTTTGTAGTTCCATGATCCCTCCCAAATCCTGAATGTCTCCTCCTTTTTTAAATAATCCATCAAGCAGTGGGGATAAAAAAAATCCCATGTGAGGAGTGGGAAGTGGTTTTGTTCATTTGCCTCATTCAAACACACCAACTCCATCATTTTCCTGCCTTTGCCTTTACCTTGAATTCTCTTTTCCCTTTTTCCTGTGTTTCATTCAATTCTTTTCCTGCCTTTGCCTTTCATTCTCTTTTTCCCTTTTCCTGTTTCATTCTCCTCAATCCCCTCTTCTTGCCCTTCATCTCAGCCAAACTCAGGCAGAGGCCAAGCTGTCACACATTTCATGTCACCCTCCAAAAGACACTTTAATTCAGGCTCTGGCACTCAGAGGCAAATTCCTGTTGTGGCCTTGTTGTGTTTAATTATGGAGCAGCCCCAGATCTTTCAGCAGGGGCAGCAAAGTACAGGAATTTGTTTCCTGCTGGCTGCTCCCTTCCCTTCCCTGCCTCCAGCAAGATTAGCCAAGGAGTTTTAAATGTGCAGGAGACGTGTTTGTGGTGCAAATAAGGCAGAAAACCTCGTCCCTTGTTCTTGTAGCAGCTTTTTGATGGCCCACAGGAAGTGCATCTCCAGCTTCTTCCTTCTGTGGCTTCGCAGGAGATGTTTGCTGGTGGCATTTCAGAGAATCCTGGGATGGTTTGGGTTGGAAGGGACCTTAAAAACCACTCAGTGCCACCCCCTGCCATGGGCAGGGACACCTTCCACTAGCCCAGGTTGCTCCAACCCGGCCTTGGACACTTCCAGGGATGGGGCAGCCACAGCTTCTCTGGGAATTCCATCCCAGCCCCTCACCACCCAATTTCTTCCCAATATTCCATCTTAATCTCCATTTTTCCAGTGTAGGGCCATTCCCCCTTGTCCTGTCCCTCCATCCCTTGTCCCAGGTCCCTCTCCAACTCTTGGAGCCCTCTAGGCCCTGGAAGGAGCTCTCAGGTCTTCTCTGGGAATTCCCAGCCCTTCTCCAACCTCCCAGGGAAGAATCCCTTCCCAAAATCCCATCTCAACCCACTCCCTGGCAGTTGAAAGCCATTAAAGTGACAGTCTCCCTAGAACCTTCTCTTCTCCAGGTTGGACATTCCCAGCTCTCCCAGCCTGGCTCCAGAGCAGCCCTTGGATCACCTTCCTTAGCAGATTGAAGACACAGCCACTGTAAAAAGGCAGAAATAAGAGCATAAAAAAAGCTCCACAACCCTTTTTTCCCCCTAAAAAAGGGGATTTTTTTCAATCCTAAGGAAGCAGAAAGTGATACAGGTCCAATTAAAAGGGAGAAAAAAAATCTCTGGGAGGTCCCTGTTAGGGGTTAAAATCACTCTGTGGCACAGAGTGAATTGTTTCTACCTCTGTTTCACTTTGTAATTCCATCCATCTCCAGAGCTCTGCCCTGGGAGCATCCACAGAGTAATGGATTGTCAGTGCAGGGGTAGATGTTCCCTCCTCACAGTATAAATCCACAAGATCAACACTTTCATTCCCTAAAAAAAAATGCAAAATTAGACTTTCAAGAGGCATTTTGCAGCTTGGCATCTTCATCTCCTGCTGCCAGGGATGGTAAATGTTTCTTGGTGTAAAGGGCATCGAATCCACCAAAGTTCCTTTTTCCTTTGCAAGATTAATTTGGGGTTTGTTTGCTTTTTAATATCCCTGTGGCTCCAGGGCCTGCTGTGTTCTCAAGTGGCTGACATGTGCTTAATGGAGTAGAAAAGGGGAATAAAAGGGATTTTTCCATCTGCAGCCCATGACCCCGACAAGAGTCTGCTCTATAAATACCAATTTATGGGAGGAAAAGTCAATAAAAGAGAAATGCTTTGCTTTTTACTTCATTAGCTCTGGGAAAGCCTGAAATGATTCAGTAATTCTGGTGAGCAGGATCCAGCTTTCCAGCCCCCAGACCCGGAAATATTTGCATGGAAAAGGGTTTCCTGGAGGGAAGTTTTGTGTGCAAAGCCCCTCCTTGGGCTGCTGGCTCATCATCTCCATGCTCAGAGCTGGGGCTGTGGGGCCCACGGGGCAGAGGGATGTGCTTTGCCCTGCCAGGGCTCCTGAACATCCTTGGGTTGCTCTTTTCCAGCCTTATTTTTTGCCCTTGTGAAGCAAAATCCAAAGGGCTCCTGGCTTTGGTTGGTGAGGAAAACGCCCATGGAGGAGCTGAGCTGCTTCTGAGTGCTCTGAAAGGGCCCAAAATGCAGCTTTCCACCCCAAAACAAGCCACTGATCACACACAGATGAACACACACATCCCTCAGGGAAAACATCTCTGGGTTCCAGCCCAGTCTGTTGTATCATGATGTGAAAAGGAGTGTTTGAGCCTTTTCCTTCTTTGCTTCCAAAACTTCCCAGTTCCTACATCCAGACGTGGAAGAGATGAGCTTTCAGTCATTCCCAGGGAAGAGGATGTTGGGTCACACTGAGCCATTCTCTCTTCTTGGAGAG